GACAGGAGTGGGGCAAACTGCTTTACATTCAGAGGTTTAAAGAAAATCAGCTGAAGTTTCCAGGTGCAGACCCAGGCAGACTGGGAGGTGTTCAGGTTTGTTGGTAAGCTAATTTTTGGTTTGGTTTGGTTTTATTTTGGCGGGAGATTGTGTGTGTGGTTTTGTCTGCCAGCATGCCAGGACCACATTTTCACCCTGCTGCCGCTGAAAAGAAAAAAGGGCGGCAAAGACATAAACAGGCCCAGTGGGGATTAGGGCCCACTCAGAGGAATGATCTGGGGGGGATTTGCTGCCCAGCGGGCACACAATGGCACTGCCTTGTTACACACAAACACACACCCCCAAAAATCTCCACAGCAACATTTCACTACAGATCCAAGCCTGCATAAATCTTTAAAGAACATCCTTTTGTTTTGGTCCAGGGGGGTTACCCCAGGCTATAGCCAGGGCCAGAGACAATTTGGCGCCCTAGGCCAGATTTCAGGTGGCACCCCTTGTGCAGTTTTCTAAATCTCACTGCCAATTTACATAATCACAAACCAAATTAAATAGTTTTATCTCTGATAAAATTCTTTTTTTATCTTTAGAAACCAGGTGGTTCAATAAAAATAGTTAATATCATTCATTTGAAACATAATACCAGAAGGCTACATCTTTCCTGCCAACATCTGCTAACAGCAATGAGAAACACCTGTTCATGTTAACAAGCAGCTGTGGACTGAAGTGGTTTTAGAGGGTCCAGGGGTATACTCCCCCAGAAAATGTTGTAAAAGATATATGCTTTTTCCAGCCACGTGAAGAATACTTTACTAAGTTCTTAATAAAACATAAAATCAGTTTATTTTTCAAGGTAGAACACTGAAAACCAGACTTTAACCTAAACTTTTTTTATCCATTATTCCGTATTTTTGTTTTCTGTTTACACACCATTGGTTAGTCTTGGCTGCATCGTTTGATAATTTGGTCATGAAATATCTTCTGTACCATAGACCACCTCATGTAGGAACAGAGCAGAGAAACCCACAGACGGTGTTCTTACCATTTACTGCCTACTGGCTGGGCCTGGCTGTAGCAGCTTCGCCACAGGCTATGAGTGAAGGGAGGGGGGGAGACAACAGTGGCTGGACAGCGGTGAAAAAAAAAGTGTGGGCATGTTGTGTTGTGGCGGGGTGTGTATCCACGTGTCTGAAGCCCAGACAGACAGACAGGGAGGGTTCATGGCTGTGTGGAAGCACAATAACAACATGAATGAAGGGTTTTCTCCCCCTCGCTGTGTATGTTTCTGAGTCAGCCGGTGATCTAAGCTGAGACAACAACACCGGCACACAAAGACAGTTAGCCGGTTTGAACCTGTTCAGTCTGACCCAGGAGAGGGGAGATAATAGAGCACTGATGAGACTTCAGTTGAATATTAAATGGCCACAGAAATTTCTGTAACACTCATCGTGTTTTTGTTGTTGCTGTTCGTCCACAGTGCCATCTCTGGCCCAGGCTGCAGCCATGCCTCTTCTGGAAGAAAATACACTGCCTCAAGAGCACCTGCCTACTCTACCTGTAGTCATCATAGGTAAACTTTGTTTTGCTCACTTTAAACGGTTCCACATCCATCCTCAACCCTGGAATCTTGTACCAGTTTTTTTAAATCTTAAAAGTACTCCAATGTGATAAACTTCTGATGCTATTATGGAATTTTGTTTGCTTTTAGGCAACGGACCATCAGGTATTTGTCTGTCATACTTGCTGAACGGATACAAGCCTTATTTAGACACTGCAACTGTCCACCCCAATACAATTCTGTACAGAAAACTACAGGAGGCCAAACACCTTCCCATCACCGAACAGGTAATCAAAACATTTTCAGGTTGGCCTACAGTTTCTCTAAACTCGACACTAAAGGCTAACAATAACTATTTCCTTTGGCAGGATTTGGAATACTTGAGTGAAGGTCTTGAAGGACGATCAAGAAATCCTGTGGCTGTGCTATTTGATACACTGCTACACCCCAACGCTGACTTTGGGTACGAGTTCCCTCCCGTCATTCAGTGGAGGAGAGACAAGAAGCAGCACATCCCGCATCTGGTTCTGGGGAAAGGAACACCGGGAGGTGCTTGGCATGTAAGCAACAAAGATTCATGAGTAACTTCCTTCATTCAACCAATTTGTTCTCTTATCTGACATCGTTTGGTCTATCTGTGTAGGCCATGGAGGGGTCCATGCTGACTATTAGTCTTGGCATCTGGATGGAGCTTCCAGGGGTCAACTACAGAGACTTGACCAATGGGAAATGCAGGTAAAAAGACGAACTCAAAAGAAATGTTTATTATTTACCCGTTTCTTATCCTGTCAACTTTTTTTTAAAGGGACATAAGGAGTGACAGAGCCACCCCAGAAGAGATCTCATCCTATTACCAAGACTACGTCAAGCTAAATGGTCTCCAAAAAAGCTTTGTCGACAACACCTACGTGACCTCTGTTCAGAAACTCTGCCGGGGCCACGAGGTGAAAGGTCTGGAAAACGGGCACACTGAAAAAGGAGACAAAGGGGTGGGAAATGGTGGGAATGAGAGATTTGAAGAAAACGAAAAGGAGTGCGTAATGAACAGTGAAGGAGGGACTCTCTGGGAAGTGAGGGGG